GTATACAAGAGTTAGTACAATGATTTGTACAAATAGGACATGAGTTGTAGATTATAAAAATAAAAAAAACTGTACAGAAGTTGGTAATTAATAATAAACAGATGTTTTTAAATAAATGTTACAAATATGTTCATTCTGAAAATCTGTCTAATGTATTTACAAATTTACACAGAATTATAAATGTTACTGATTAAGATTAACAAAAAATGTCCTAGAACTTCAGACTAAGATCCCTCTGCTGCTGCACAGAATTCAAATGACTTATTAATAATAATGATTTATCATATCTGCCATAGAAAATTATTAATAATAATCATGAGGAGTTTTGAACAATATGATGTAATCAGGTAGTCAAAAATTCACATATATAAATGTATTATTAATAATAATACTATCACTGAAGGTGAGCTGTGCAAATTTATGTTTAATAAGTAGCCCTTTGTGTTATTTGGTATCCCTGAGGTAGCTCTCAGTCTCAAAAAAAGTTGGTGACCCCTGGTTTAGAAACAAATGTTTACATTTATGTAGAAATGATGTTAATTGTTGTTTGACATCAGCCATGATTGAGTCTTTCAGCTCAGAACAACAGCTGTGTGAGTGTAGGTACTGGTTGTACTGTAGCTGCAAACAGTTTTAACACAGTAGAGAGATTGTTCCAGAGATATGTAAAATTTTGGACAAATTAGTTTATTTTTTAAACTAAAACATTTCCCATTCGTAAAGCCATTTCTTCTCCTTCCAGCTGACTGAGGTGAAGAGCTTAACTTGTGTACATGCAACTTCTGTACCCTGTAAAACTTCACTTACTTTCTTTGTTAGTATTTGGATAGACTAAGCAACCAAACTGTAAACTATGGATAGTAGATTTGATCTTTTGTTTGTTTCCAGAGAGAAATCCGCTGTACTAAGGACGGTGTGTGGACAGCAGAGTTCACCATGTGCTCCACTCTTCGGGGTTCGTGCTCTGCTCCTCCAGATCTTAACTCTGTAGAGTACAGCTGTGACCAAGGGATGGGTATTGGTGAGTGAAACCATATTTTAAAAAATGCAGTTCTACATTTGTCATTTTCTTCTAACAGCGTAGAGCCAAAGTAACCAGCTGGTCATGTTTATGCCAATAGATATTTGACTGGGAGAATATCAAGCAGTCTTTGTGTTTTTGTCTTCAGGTTTTCTATGAAAAGCCTCAAATTCTGATTGAAAATTTTAACCAGTTCTTGTTAAAATTGTATAATTCAAACATCACTAACATAAGAATGTGGTAAAATAATTGTTTTGATAGAAAGAAGAACAAGAAATCTTGACATACACTAGTGGTCAAAATTTTTAAAACACCCTAATTTTTCCAGTTTTTTAATTTGATATTCAAGCAGCCCAAGTCCATTGAGCAGCTTGAAAGGTTACAAAGGTAAGTGCTGAACTAACAGATTTATTGTGTTGTTAAATCTTGTTTTCTGATTTGCTAATTTGCATGAATCGCTTTATTGATTTGTAGTTTTTATCTGTTCTGTAAGGTGACCTTGGGTTTTACAATGGTGCCTTCAAATAAAATGCATTATTTATTAT